CTGAGGGTGCACTCTGTCCCTTCCTCCAGGTCATGGATGAATACATTGAACAAGACTGGGCCCAGGACTGACCCTGGGGGGACACTGCTAGCTACAGGCCTCCCACTAGACTCTGCACCACTGATCACAACCCTCTGAGCTCGGCCATCCAGCCAGTTCTCAATCCACCTCACCGTCCACTCGTCTAGCCCACACTTCCTGAGCTTACCTAGGAGGATGTGGTGGGAGACAGTGTCCAAAGCCTTGCTGAAGTCTAGGTAGACAACATCCACTGCTCTGCCCTCATCTACCCAGCCAGTCATTCCATCATAGAAGGCTATCAGATTGGTCAAGCATGATTTCCCTTTGGTGAATCCATACCTGGGGTGGCATTACACAGAGTGTTGCCAGCAGTTCAAGGGAGGTGATCCTTCTTCTCTACTTAACCCTGGGGAGGCCACATCTGGAGTACTGTGTCCAGGTCTGGCCTCTCCAGTACAAGAGAGACATGGGCCTGCTAGAGCGAGTCCAGAAAAGGGCTACAAAGATAAGGAAGGGACTGGAGCATCTCTCAGATGAGGAAAGGCTGAGAGATCTAGGCCTGTCTAGCCTGGAGAAGAGAAGATTGAGAGAGGATCTCATCAATACATATAAGCATCTGAAGGGAGAATGTGAAGAAGATAGAGCCAAAACACAGGCAATTCTGTTTTCATCTAAGAAAAACTTTTCTGCAGTGAGTGCGACTGAGCACTGGAGCAGGTTGCCCAGAGAGGTTATGGAGTCTCCATCCTTGGAGATATTCAAAACTCAAGTGGACATGGTCCTGGGCAACCTGCTCTAGCTGACCCTACTGGACCTGGGGGGTCAACCAGATGATCTCTGGAAATATCTTCCAGCCTCAACTATTCTATTCATGCACAGTTACAGAATCACAGTAAATTTCATTACTACACCTAAAATTTCTGTAACAAATAATGATGTATACTAAATACAATTGGTCCTACTAATTCATTAACTACCTTTCAGAATTTCAAAGTGACCCTTTGAAGTAAATCTCCCACACTTTTTCCCCTATTGAACTGTCCTAATAATGTATACTAAATACTATTGGTCCTACTAATTCATTAACTACCTTTCAGAATTTCAAAGTGACCCTTTGAAGTAAGTCTCCCATACTTTTTCCCCTATTTAACTGTCCTCATTACTTGAACTGAATCACCTTATGACATGATCCAAATTATTTTCACTCTTCTACAGTGTCCTCACTACTTAAAATAAACGCTGTATCATCCTTTGATGGCACCATGATCATTGACTGATTAAATATATTAGCTGCCACTTCTAACAATACCTAGAAGATGTGGTTATATTCTTTCTGAAAGAAACTTGTTACTTAGTTTGTGACTTGAAAAATTAGTGTCTTCCATGATGAGACATTCCAGATATTACTGGAGGAACTAATGCTATTACAGTACTGCCATCTCCATTCAAATTACTCCTGGAGACTACAGGCAGAATCCCATAACTAACTTCATAGAAGCTCTTTTTTCCCCCCCTATATTCTTCAGCGTTATTTTTGTACTAACCAACTACGTTTATCCACACTACTCCTCGCCATTATGCTATAGTTCTTCCCATTGTCAATGTAAAGCACTGCCTTACCTCACTGATATTGAGTAACATGCAAACTTCAGTTCTTGTTTTCGAGTCATGATCACTTCCCCAGCATATTTTATATCCACACAAAATCCAGTTTTACTTCCCATATCTGTCTTTCCATATGTTTGTCCAAGTTCCTTGCATGTGCATAGTTTTTGCTAAATTATAGATCAACAAGCGTCTGAGGAATGAACAGAAAATCTCACAGAAACATTCATACAGGATTACCTTCCTCCCTGCACCTGAATCATACTTTCCTTAAATGTTATGTACACCTTCCTTGTCATTAAACTTATCTTTACTTCCTATCCTCCTACCCACTGATAATCCTTTTTTGTATTTCTGATTGATATGATTATGCTCTTATGTATAAGATACTGGCATGAAAGTTCTCTAAATTTCTATCTTCTCCCTTCATTTTTTTTAAATTTCAAGCTTTTTAAACTGTAGCGACATTTTCAAGCTCAGAAAACCAGTACCTGAAGTACTCAAACAGAGTCTGCCCATTGAAGTAAATCTTACAAACATCTCCAAATGATGACTCAGAGTAAGAGACTTAAATTTCATTCATAGAATCAGTACTGGCACGATTGATCACTTTTGCATTCAAGCTTTGTCACTCATTTCCTAGGGAAAAGAAAACCACTGACAATTATCCAAGCAGCCAATATGTTTTCTGAGTTGTTATTCCAATCTATGTATTAATCTTTCATCAATTCCCATAGGGACATGAAAAATAACTCGTATCCATTTAAGGCTCGGGTCCATAGCTCATCTGGTAGACAGGACGGCCGGCCACCTTTAGGTTACGTTTTTCACTTTTAAAGTCAAATAGGCCTGCCTCTTCTTAGCAATGGCATCAGATAAGCGGATTCAAGTACTGCTGATCTTGTCATCTACTCTCTCAATCTGTTTTATATCCTCACTGATTCTTATCCAGCTCTCTCACTCTGTTGTACCTTTCTCAAATGCAAACAGATGCTTTTTCCTTCCTCCTTTGTTATCTTCTGTTTCTAACAGAAGCTTTCATCCTCTCACATTTAAAAGTCTGTTTTTAAACTCTGTTTATTTTTCCCTAGACTGTCAGTTCATCTGAGCTATTTTAATACTGTTTCCTGGTATCATTCGCTTCATCAATTTACCATCAGGGCCTTTTCTTCAGCAAGTGTTTAAAGCTTGCTACTTATTCTACTCTATGCAGTCAAATTCCTGTCTAAACTTCATCATAATTCCCAGCTGTGTTACTGTATCTTCTCTTCAGTTAAGTCTATCTGATGACACTTAGCTCTCAATTAGCTTTGTACAGAACCATTCAAGAGTGATCTTAGTCCACATTCCCCGTTCCTTTCATTCACTGTCAACTGCATAGCTAGCATTCCTACTACCACCCTTAATGTGGGAGAGCTAAGTATAACTATTTAAATGGCATGACCTAACTTCCACGCATTTCCCCCTCTACCAACACACAGAGGAATTACTCACAGAAGTTAAATATTAGCATAAATATACTGAAAAAAAAATCTGAGTGCAACTCAGTTTGTGCTCAAGACATCGAAACTGAGGTGTCTGAAGTGTCCAACTCCCTAGTCAGTGGAGGTTTTGGCAGTATAATCAATGTCAATAAGTATATCCCTAACTAGGATCCACAGTACTCAAACCATCAGCTAACAATGTGGATGTTCCAGAGTTAAAAATCTTTTCCTGCTACAAGATTATTTTCAATTATCAACTACTGGATCATTATGCTTTTCCCAGGAAGCCAGTAGCTTCCCAAGCTCCTCAGTAACACCAGAGCTTTTCAACACATAAGCACCTACACACAATCATCAGACTCTCAATCTTTTTTTTTTTTTTTTAAGTATGCACCAAAATCTCATTTTCCAATTCGAAGAATCACTTTTATGACCATGCTATCAACTCTCTCAAAACTTCTGTATCATTCTGAATCAAAGACTGAATAAGGCACTATATTCTAATAGTAACCTTACCCATGCTGCACAAAAGCAACACATTTTCCTTTCTTCTAACATTCTCTTCTTTCACCAAAAATTGCATTAGTTCTTTTTGTCAGCTTGCTGTGAAACCCCATTACAGTAGTTATTTATGATGACCTGTTCAATGCCTTATTCAAGCTATTGTTTTTCCATTCTGCAGCTATAAATTGCATTTTGTTCCATGAAGCCTTGAATTTGCCTATATTTAAAAAGCCTAATGGATTGTGATCGCTGAACTAGAAACTCGAATCTCCCTGCAACTGTAACCTAATTTCCTTATTACTGGCTACCCAATGAATTTATTGTCATTTCAGAAAAGGTTTTATGCAATCTATCTCTCTGATGACACTGATACTCAGTGGCTCACACCAACCATCCATCAGTTTTTCCATGGCCAACAAAAAACCACTTTGCTTACTTCCAGCTGTCTAACAGCTATTCCTCCATATTCTGAGATCTATCATTTAGGCCAGTTTCTGGTCTCTTTAATGTACCCATGCTGCGTGTCATGCTATTGTGAATAGCCAGCTGAGAGACAGAGGCTCCCTTATAAAACACGGCATTATATTAAGATAATTTCTGGAGCTCAATCGTTAATTAGATGAGCTATGTAAGTGTGGGGGGAGGGGGGGGGAGTGAGCAACCAAACTGCTTTTTGGTTCATGTCCAGTTTTAATTCTTCCCTTCACTTAATTTTTTTTTCCCCAAGTGCTTTTTCATATACTATAATCACATATGCTGTTAGATGCTCCATTTATTTTTCAGTGATGAGAAACCCCCATCATTAATGTAGTTATGTACATTAACTAGATTATATTTTGCTGTGTAATGAATATCTGCTTATCTCATTACAAACAAAGAATACAGTAAATTGATATTTCAGTAATAGGTTTCTTTCAAAATAATGTAGAAAGAAAGCATAATTTTTCATGAAGCCTTGTACTTTTTGAGATCAGCTCTCACTAAATGTGGGAGTTATTAAGAATTAACGGGCCTTGTTAATCACCAAACAATATTGCAGATATCTGCAGTTCTAGAAATCTGTTTAAGTTTTTCAGCAGTAACCTTAGGTATTATTTCTAACCAAAAGCAGGGAAAAAAGCTAGTAAGGTATCAACTTTACTTTTCAAGACTAATACAAAAAAAATTAAGCAAACTTATCATGGGACATGATAAAAAGTGCCTGAGAAACTTACCTTATTAAGTGTATATCTAACTGGAAAAAAAGAAGTGTTTGTCATCTAAACTAGCTTTTCATGTCATATTCCTATCAAAACCCATCATTACCTTACTTTTTATAAGCTAATAAGGTAGAAGAGAAAGTTTCAAACATATTTACAACACTTATCAAAAAAATCATCCCATTAACATGAGGACTTTCTGACTTGCTCGCCTTTTCCTCAAACTCAATACAATTCATCACTTTTGTACCAAAACTGTTAGTAACTTTCACTAAAAATGGTTCCTCAGGAACCAAACTGAATTAGGAACTTATTAACTTATTAGGAACTTAAGGCCATCATCATGGCCTTACAGACCTATAGGCACATATGAAGTATTTGGTGAAGATTACTGTTGTTAGAACTTATTGGAACTTATTATTAGGAGAGAAGGATGCACTAGAAGTTCTTACAATAAGACGTTTGCCTAGGCTAGTGGCTCCAAACAGCAGTTGATAATTCCTTATCTAAAGGATGTTTTCCACAAGTTGTTATCATTAACGGTTGATTCTATCATAATGTGGACAACAGAACATATTTCACAAAACTAAATTCTTGGTTTACTATTCAACTAATCCCCTTTTCTATTATAACAGAAAAGCAGATAGCATACATGCATCAACCAATAACAGTTTCCCTGTTTTTGTTCAACAAAACTCTATCCAATTAAACAAATGGTATAAACTCTAGGGATTCTCAGGGATCAAATTACAGCACACAGGTAAGAGTATAAGTGCTAGGGAGCCAATAACACTAAAAACCCTAGCTCTAGACCCAGAGCAAAGACCCATCTAGGTTGTAGCCCCCAAGAGACTCAAAGCAGGTTGTTTAGAGAAAATACATATAAAATAGGGTAACGCCATGTGCTCTTTCACTAATTTAATCCGCCCAGCACTCAGGTTAGGAACTTGTTGCCCATGAAGATAAGGCGCAAAAGATGATCTTGCTTATCGACAGCCAATCATCTTAAATTTCAGGAACGTGTCTAAATCCTTTTTTAATGCATAGGTACTTCTGTTTTCCATAACTTATGACATGAAATTCACAAATATATGCAAACACTTTAAAAAAAATCCGTTGCCTAGTTCTTCATTTGGACAATCCTTCAATTTGCATGAAAAAAGGAGTCAGATTTTTCTCACTCCTTTCTGATGGCCATGATTTCACAGATCAAAATCATCTCTGCCCTGTACCAAGCTCCTTTTCTTACTAAAATAGTCCTAGTGCAGTTATTTTCTTCTCATAGACAAGCTATTGCATTAACTTTAATGATTCTTGTCACCTTTCTCTCTCTCAGTTTTTAAAATCAGGTGATCAGAAGCGCAAACCATATCCATGATGTACTTGCAGCAGAAACGTAGCATCACGATGTTTGCTGGTTGGGTCTCCATTACATGCCTGTTATTCCAGAAGCTAGGCACTGAGCTGACAGTTCCAGAGAGCTATTCACAAAAACCATTCAATGCTAACCTTGGGTAGCAGTGGCCAATTTAGAGCCCAGGTGTGTGGATGCATAGTTACGACCAGCTCTTCCCCACATATAAACCCTGCCTTTACCAACACTAAATTTCATCTCCTGTTTTGTCCCCATCGCTCCGACCTATTTCTGACATAAACACTTGCCCAGAGCAAGGGGATGGATGCTATTTCCTGCTTCCTTCCTCCCTACTCGGGCACCACTCCGACCCCTCTCGGCGGAGGCAGCCGCAAACTGCCGTTGGGCGCCCAGCGGGACCGGGCAGCGGACGAGGGAGGGCGCCGGGGCGGGCCCACCCGCAA